TTTCAAATTTTTTTATAAATTTATTTATCACGAAACGTTTAATAACTTGTATGTATATTTTGTGCGGCGATTACAATTAATTTGTTCACAAAAAATTTTGTCTGTATATTGTGATTATTTCTTATAAAGTTAGCTTAATTTGATGTAGAGTTTGGAATTACGAATAAATATTACTTCTATTACGTGGTATTACAATAATTAAAGAAAATAATTTAAAGCTTTAAAAAAATTAATTACTAAAAGTAAAAAACAAGTTTATTGAGAAAATGTATATTTCTAAATCAGTTCACTACGAATATAAATTAGTTCTTATTGTTTGTTCACGAAGAAGTTTCTTAATCTAATTCCTCATTATTCTATGTATACAAAACGCGCCTCTCATGACTTGTACCATACACAACACGTGTGTTTATAAAACACTGTCATCGGAACTCGGCTCATATGAGGTGCATTAATATTGAAGGCATTTAAATATTTACTCTCAATACTTTTAAATGAAAAACGCTTTCAAAATTTGTATTGGACTTTCAAGAGCCTTTGATGTAATTAATTTCGTCACGATAGATATGAACTTTATTAAATTTACGATGAAAACATGTTTAATAAAGGGGACTTTAGTTGATTACTTTATATGTGTAATTATTGCCTGGGTTGAAAGTCAGAAAGAAAACTCTCTTAGTCATTAAAATGTATGTACTTTTTGTTTAAATAAAATAAAACGAAGACATTCTTATTGTTAGCAAGAGAAATAAATTCACTGAATTTAATAATGAACATATTTTCTTCATACCAAGAGAACATAAGTTATACATTTTAATAAGAATTCTCAGGTTTTTTTTCTGCAACTAATTTTTAATATCCAAGCACGTAGTAAATCACGAACTAATTAAATGCCCTAGAAAAACTCAGCGGAGTGTTTTATTATTTAAATGAAAAACTTTAAAAGTTACAAATGTAATTTTCTTAAATTACAACTTAAGAAAATTACATTTTAGTTTTGAAAATATTTTTCTTGGAGTAACTTTTACTTCATAACTTTTACTTCTTTTTCTATTTTAAATCAACTTGTTTATTTATGGATAAAATTTTAAATGAATATATAAATAATTAATATATAAAATTTTAGACTATACCTATATGTTTTACAAAATTTAAAGATTACATTTTAACCACTACCTCTCGCCCGTCCTAATTTGTCTCTTGAAAAGGGTTTTTATACTTAAAGATTATTTTATAATTTCCTAGTAAGAAATAGTTCAGTTAAAATGTATGTACAATTTAGAGAAAAATTAAAGTAGTCTAGTTTATATCTTATGTATGAAATTGAAAAATAACAACATGTCGACATAATTCATTCGATTAGAAGCTTATTCTATATATAATTATAACCATTGAATTTTTTAACCGTAATGACCTTTAAGCCTTGAATTACTTTAAATATTACTTCAATGATCTTCACCAAATTTGAAATAAATAAATAAAATATTACACATGTCATATTATCATTAATAAACCACTTTCAGTAAAAAAAATGAAGTTTAGATATATATAATTTTGAACACTAAGATATACATTTATATATAGTACAAAAATAATACTTAAAGACTACGTACAAAATATTATCGACATCAAATAATCATAATTACATCATTCATTCATCAATATGATGTCCTACATATTGGTGATCGTATATTAAGTTATACATATATTAAAGCCCACCCACAAACAATCAACACCGCCAGTTATCATCTTCATTATCAGTGAATACGTCGTTTTAAGATGATATAGTATTTGAATGCGATCATGATAATGAAAGGTTAGCGCTATGACGCGACCCTCCGACGAGTTCGATTAAAGCATTAAACATTATATTTACGAAACACAGTTATGAATTATTTATTTTGTATGTTTGTAGCGCAAAAATTATTGTCGATTTATCAACAAAGATATTAGTATGGAAGATGAACGATATTTCATATAAATAAAACTAAAATTTTCGGTGGTCTAATATATTTTTTTTAAAGTCAGTGGTGGCCTAGTGGTTAAAAGGATCCGCCTCTCGTGCACGAGGGCGCGGGTTCGATCCTGACAAGTACCAATGTAATTTTTCCGAGTCATATGTGCTTTCTAAGAGTATTTAGACACCACTGACATACGGTGAACGAAAATAACGTGAGGAAACCTGGACTTATAGTTTCACAATTATAAGTTTGAAATCACCAACCCGTCTTGATCAAGCGTGGTGATTAATGCTCAAACTTTCTTCATGTGAGAAAAAGGCTTTTGCTCGGCAGTGGGCTCTGATAGGCTGATGACAATATTTTTCGGATATACTAAGCGACTTTATATTTGTAAACTTTATACTTCCGACGTTTCGGTTACTTTTCAGCAACCGTGATCACGGGCAGACTATATGTGAATGTCTGTCAGTTGGTCTTATTATTTATCACCTACCGCTATCGATTTCTTAATTTTCTGCAATACACCTCTGGATCTTTCATAGCATGTAGCAATGTGATTATCGATAAATTCTTTTAAAAAATCGAACTAATAAGTAGTTTAGTCGTTCAAGTTGATAAAATAGGAAAAAACAAACTATCAAAGTAAGTTCGTGAGCATCAGGCTTCACTTGCAATCAATGCCGTGGAATTCAACGTAACATTATCCAGCACTTGTAAGATTTTACTTAATAACTGTACAGCTATGTACCTTCAGGCGGGAAGAAAGGATATAAGGTTGGTAATTGTAAAGAAATCCGTAGCCAACAATATTATGACTTTAAAACTAACTTAACTTAAATAACTACATATAAAAAGACATCTATTTTAACCAAAAATTTACATGTACGTAATTTTTTTTTAATCTTTCCATATATCAAATGAATTATAAACTTCATTTCATTAAATTAGACGATTCGTTTCCTTCATAAAAGCTGCTATTAATATCATTCCATAATCTAATTAAGTACGCTATCAATGTGAATTTAAATTCAAGAATCAATTTCGCAAATTGTAACTCTCATATCAAATATACAAAGAGGTTTTATTTCTGAATTCGCAGACGGTGAATCCCAGACTGCACCTTTGTATCATAATTTCTCTCAGCATGTACTAATAGTAGGGTTGGCATGTACATACCATGAAGATCACAATAGATATTTAAAATTAATAATATGTAATAAAACTTAGCATAATCATTAAAAGAAACATGAACGTAAAATATTTTTTTTATTAGATTATAGAGCATATTTATTATATTTTTCAGTTTCCACAAAACACAAATCAAACCAGTTTAAATAATATTAACTCAAATATTACTAGACGCCGATTTTATAAGAGAAAAAGAAAAAAAGTGAGTATTCATGTTTTTGAAAACATCGAAAACAGACGTGGCTTTCTACACAAAAGCTACGATATAAACATAGAAGTCTAAAGTATAGTAAACTCCTTTTAAAATGATGCAACCCTAACTAATCAATATGGATCCTCATTCACGTCACGCCAATCGAAAACAACACACATCGGTTTACATTACCTATAATTATTGTTCACTAGTCACTAGTCATTTGCAGATGAGACACTCGCCTTTTTTTGAATCGCGGTTTGACGTGATTAATTTTTAATTGGATACACTGAAACGTCATCGATACATTTTTGACGTCTGTCATCTGTCAGGTGACACATGAGCTGTCATTAATAATTATTAGGGTATGTTTGGAGTGGATTCGCACAGATTATTAAACTTTAATTGAGGGTGACATTTCAATTAATTTAATTAAAACCTTTTTTATTAATGTTTACATTTATTTGTTTTGGATGTCATGTAATATTTCTGATTGTATCCGGGATCTCAAATAAAGAAATTGAGTTTTTAGTATGTTCAATAGTTACTTTTGTCTTTTAATTTTTATGTTCGCTTCTGTAAATCCCGTACTTCTTTCTAAAGGCTTCTTACAAAAAAGTTTAGTAACTAAGTAAGATATTCTAAGTCATTATTGTTAATAATTTTATTGTTTTATACTGTTATTTGTTTGAATTTATTGTTTAAAGTATTGACTTGTATTTTAAGATTACATTTAAACAAGTTCCATTGTAACACACTTCCTGAATTTACGGTTAATTCATCGCTTATTTTAGGAGTATATATTTATGTTGTTAAATAAAGTGAATGAATATAGTAGGGATATTATTCTACCACAGCCTAGGGGCCGGGGTAGAATAAATATATCTTTATTCTCTTTGGCTCGATCGTTTTGCAAACTTTAATTTCTTACAAAAGTACTCGAACATAAAGATTCAAAAGATTCAAATGTCGAAGCAATTTGAATTGAAACGACCAAGAAGTTTTAACGATACCACAGATACAATCAAACTCGATAATTTTGTAATAGTAAGTTCTTTAAAATTCAAATTTACTTATATATAATTTGGATAGGAAAACGAATTTTGGGAATCGTAGTAAAGATATCGTGATAAGGACTTTGTTTTTTAGTCTATTGTAAATATAAATATATGTACGTATAATGTCTTTTGTGAATCTGAAATGTATGATAAATTCCGTTGCATTTTCACGCTTGTCTTTCGAAGGTTTATTTAAAATCTTATCACATAACATATTATAAGTATATTGTGAATAAACAGTAGATATTTTTATATTTAGTTTTTATTACATACGATTAAATTATACTTTTATTATTGAAGTGAATGAAATCTAAGTAAATGTGCTATGCAGTGGACACGTGTGCTCAGTAAAGGGTTGGTATTTCTCAAGTTTCAAGAGTATCGCTTACATAATATTGGATAAATTATAATACGTCGTTGTTAAAGAACCAAACATATCGGTCTTTGGATGGGAAATTTTATTATTACGCTTAATTGATTAACCCAGAATATTTAGCTGTAAATTAGGAGCATAATACTATGAGAAACATGTGCAGATTTAGAAACTATTGCGAGATTGTTTTGAGGATAGACCGATTTCCATCCATTGCCCCACCTTACCTGTTCTGATGCAGGTCCTTGGGTGGAGGGAAGGGTGTGGGGATCCGCCTCCCACCTCTGAAGCCAGCCTCGCTCATTGTCAGAACTGAAACAAGTACTTACTTTAGTGCTACTTCCTTATTCTTCGTTTTCATCTCAGTACTTACATTCGAGTTCAGAAAGTCAAATATATCTTAACTGTTCGCCTAAAGTAGCTGAGTTTTTATTTTTATTACTTTATTATTCAAATTGTTTTGTAATTCAAAGGTTTTTAAAATAAATACTTGACATAAAGTTTGTTTTAAAATAATATAGTTTAATGTGTATAATAAATATAGAATTAAAGAGTAAATTATATTTTTATTATTATTGATATAAGATCAGGAAAAAAATCTTGATGGTAAATAAAAGAATGATTTAAAAAAACAGACTTCTATTGCAATAGATCTGAAAAAGGAAAGTTAATTAAACCGATAAACAAAAACCATTTCAGAACAAAGCTCAAACAAGACCACAACAATAATATGCACTGGCTGGCGTCTACGGAACTGTTGTTCGAGGTTTCAAAGTCGTATCCAATTTATATGCGTGGCATCTATCAAAGTGAGGCTTGGTTACGTTGAAGGCTCTCAGTCAAACCTCGTACGTGAGGAAAGGTGGCAGACCTACGCTCGAGATTTATGTGGTTTTTAGACTAAACCAATCCCTTTGACGGATATGCGAATGGATTTGCTATTCATACATGAACGAACATTAACGCTCATCGTACCAACTAACGTTTGATACTAATTTGTATGAACATTTCTGTTTACGCTGCACGGAGTTTAAATTGAATGTTCTATATACAAAGAGATTACTAATTGCTTTAGCTCTGAAGCTAGTGTAAGTATTAATAGATGTATTGTGTTATGTCATTGAATTAGTCCTAATTAGTGGGTTAATATTAATTTAGATGTATTGCATTCTAATTAGATTAAATTGAAATTGAGTTGACAACGTTATAACATCTCATTTGTCATCAGCCTATTAGTGCCTACTGCTGAGAAAAGGCCTCTTCTCACATGTGGAAGTTAGAGCATTAATCACAACGGTTCTTCAAAGCGGATTGGCGATTTCAAATATAATATGTATAATTTGAAATTAAATTCCAAGGTTAATCACATTATTTTCTTTCGCCACCTCTCATGGCGTCTATAAATAATCATAGAAGTACATATCACTTGGAAAAATCATATTGGTACTTGCTAGATTTCGAACCCGCGCCCTCATGCACGAGAGGCGAGCCTTTAACCTCTGGGCCGCCACGACCTACCATAACATACATATTTTCCGTTTTCCAAGAAAAAAAGTGTTGTGAAAAATGTCTTCATAAAAATTTAAAAGTTGCTGTTGTTTTTCTATTTTATATGTAATTACTAATTACTCATGTCTAAGATTTGATTGAAGTCTTGAAGACTGAAATTTCATTCAACTTTGAAATACTTAGTGTGTAGAGTTCTGTAGGGCGAAAGTTTTGAAATTAAGAAACCAAAACTAAGTAAAACGAGTCTCTGTGTCGATTGATTTAAAATATTACCGGATGAAATTTTTTGGGAGACAACAATTTAATCACGTAATTCGAAGTAAGTTATTCCGTTATTGTAATTACAATGAAGAATCTCTAAATTGAAGCTAAATACCCGATGGACCTCTTTGTTGAATTCCTTACGAGGAATCCTTCCTTGAGAAAGCCTCTTAATTCCGTTGGTCTAATGATTTTGAATTACAAACTCAGCTCGTAATAACATTTAAATGGAATAGATCTTTCAATGCATAGATAATGTTATTGTTGGGATCGAAAGTCTCGAAATAATTAATGTTAACTTAAATGTTAATAAAAGAATATTCAATTGAAAAACTACTTTTTGTCGTAAAACAAAGTCGATACTACATTTGCCTCAAAAAAGCTATCATGTAATATATACTATAGGTTATATAATAGAATATAAAAGGCCGAGTATATTTCCATTATAATCCTTTACTCCACAAACCGAACCTCAAACTTCCGTAATTTAGTTTGAAACACTTCACAGGAATTCCGAATGGAAACTCCCAATTCAAAATTGAAAATTAAAAATTCAAAGTATTCCAGTCAAAGTGATACGGAGTTTCAGATTGACGGGCAAGATATCTTACAGATACATCACTCAGCATAAGCTTTAAAAATTTCAAAGCGCATTTAAGAATCGAATTTCCCCTTTGTGAGCTCAAATATTTCTGCGGACGAAGCAGATATTTATAGTTTGGAATATAATTTTTGGCAGAAAGCAAAAGCTTTGCACGATGATGAGATGATAAATAAAAACAAAGCCATTTAATGGAAGAAAATTAACGAATGGGGTACTTTTGTCGGTGTAAGTGTTAAACCGTTGAATTAAGCCCACCTCTCGACTTGACTCCGTGGTTGTGCATAATGTACGGTATTTTACACTTTTCTGTATGATTTGACATTATGAATAATGAGGGGGCGTTGAATGGTTTGAAGTTCGGATGGAAAATGAATCGTCTCATTCCGAATCCTTGCAGGGAATTAGTTTGTCTTCGTTTAAAACTTCCAAACTCCTTTGAAACAAATTTAGATTATTCCATCGAGTTTGTGAATCCAATGAAATTTACAAATGAGAAAAGTAAAGCCTTTTTTTAGCGTTTCGAAACACAGAAGTTAACTTATATTTTGTTTATTTTTACGGCTCTTTTGTAAAGCTATATAAATTCATTATATCCCGAGATTATTCTTTTTTGTAATATTTGATTGGAAAATATTACTAAAAAATAATACTAATAAGAAATAGAATTCAATAATAAATGTTACTATGAATAGAATACAAAGACAATAGCGTTTCAGTCAAAGCATTTCGACTCTCAGTCAGATAGAATTTCTGGAATGTTCTCTCATTTCTTTCAAATAACATTTAATTCAGATCCAATCTTCCGTCCCGTGTATCTCATCAGATGAAAAGAGACAGCTAATCATTTCATTATAGCCAGTAATGAATTTTCCTCACGGCCACTTCATACTAATGATATGATTTTAATTTTGTTAAGATTTTTCTTAAGACGTCTCCTCGGTGCATTCATTTAACTGTCTAGTGATTTTAAATGAATTCGTAAATGAATGAAATGAATTTCAATATTATGTTTTATATGTGTTGTATTATTTTGAGTGGTTTTATTGATGTATTATGTAATGTATTTGTTTTAATAAGAAGGATTATATCAAGATAAGTGTTTAGTTAGATGGTAAATGATTTTATTACATATATTTTAATCATCATTTCCTAAATACCAACTAAATATCTTGGGAGTAATGAGAACATTTTTCATTTAAGGGTAATTTTTATTTGAAATACACTAAGTATAGTGATAAAATCTATTTTTATAAAATATTATTTTATATTCTTTATAATAAATTCTTATATATTTTTATGCTGTGTCTTCATTCGCACTGGAAACTACTTAAATAGAAATCATCGTTTAGTTCTTTTTTTTAAATTGAATATAAATGACGACATTTATTAATTATGAGAATGCAGACAATATAACAATCTAAAATTTCTGTGTGTGAATACCAACATAATCAAGTTGAAACCTTAGTACTAATTTATATCGTTAAACTAAATACAGACAGTTTAGTAGTTCACCAGTTACTAACGTATATTGTTGCTAACATATGCGACAATCTCTTTATGAAAAACTAACAAGATTCAATGTGTTATTTAGAAATACAATTTTGCGTAAGGACTAAGGATACAGTGTAATTAAGATAAAATTTACATAATCATAAATAAAAAAATTGTAAAGATTATGTCGGTTTAGTTAAAATTTAATACAAAAATTTAACTTTAGTTTAGTTTGTATTACGAAACAAAGTTAAAAAATATTATTGACTTAAATTTCAGCGAAGAAACGAAAACTACTGAACCTAGCCTATAATTAATCACATAATAATAAAATTAATTAATAAAAACTAGAACAATTAACACCAAACAATTGAATGCATTACCAATATTTACTAAAACGAAATTTGCTCTCGTTGCGATTTTAAATCAAACAAACTGTTTTATTGACAGCCCTAAATAAACTGGGGTGTGTGTTTAGTTCGCGAGTTGGCTTTAATGTTACATATTAAAAGGGGCGAACTATGAATAGATCGGGAACCTATTTGATATTCGTACCTCCATAGATTTGATTACACTTGCATACTCTTCATAAAAAGCATTATTATTTATACTACAATACTCTCAATATAACTATATATGTATTTGAAAAAGAGTGACGTCAGCATCGCTGATGTTACTATTCGTAATTTCAGTACGTTCCACAATATTCTAAAAAGAAACTTCAATTTTTCTAAATGTTTTTGTATTTCTTGAAGTTTCTACGAGTATATTCTTTAAAGATTCACTTATCTATGAAACTCAGTGGTGGCCTAGTGGTTGAAAGGCCCGCCTCTCATGCAAGAGGGCGCGGGTTCGATCCTAGCAAGTACCAATGTGATTTTTCCGAGTCATATGTACTTTCTAAGAGTAGTTAGACATCACTGATTAATACATTCTCAAAAGAGGGTTGATGTCAGGCAGGCGGCCGGTCGTAAAACCAATTAGCCAAACCTATTCACAACATGTAAGGCAGACCCTGGCTAAAGCTGGGAAATTGCAGATAGAAGATATATATGGCCGACTTCCATTATAAATAATTGTATATATCCAACGATATAACTCACAGTTACACGTTAGTACGTACGTTTAATTAACATAAATTTTTTTTAGCTCTGTTTATACGTATGCGGTTCATCGACTGTTTTGTTATTCTTTCACCTGAACATTAGTAAACAGAGGGTTACTTCACTCTACAGATTTTGTTAACTATTTATGGAAGCTTTTATATTTGAATGTTCGCTCAGAAGTTTTGCTCGGATATTAATGCTAAAATATCATACTTTTGTATAAAATTCACGCGTTACTTTGATGTAAACGCTATATTTCTGTGAAGTCTAATAAAAATATATTAACAGTTCTTGTGTTAAGGAGTAACGTACATGCAGATAGACGACCAATCA